CTTTAATTTCTACATAATGATAAAGAAAATAATCACATCCCCGAATCCTGTGCGTGTATGCATTTGTTTAGCAACAAGCACTATCTTTCGCAATTGCTTAAATTATTTCAGCATGAATTGGGAGTCATTGTAATAATTTCTGACAGTTGTGGTGGCTTGTCTCAGTTCTTTTACCTAAAAGCATCTGCCGGGAAGAACGTGCCACTGGCGAAAAAATCCTACGGGGGAAATGTGCAAAAAACGCATCCTCTTGCCGGCAGCCGGTACGATTTCGACCAAGTTTTTAAGCCCGTTTTTGTCACGTAGTTTGTTACCCCCCTGCAGCATCTCATCTGTTTTACGACCTTCGATAACACTGGCGACTTTTTTGTTCTTGATGCCAAAATGTTTTTGTTCTTTTTTGTTCTTGACATTTCATCTAACCTTTTCGATGCCAAAATCATCGCCTCGTACGCGCTGCCAACTTATCTCGCTCTCGATGGATGGGTATCATTGGCATCACAGTCCAGGAAAAGCTCGGATGTTTTGGAAGCTTCCTTTGTCATCGCTGTCGATTGTGAAGTACCGAGTGAGAAGAATCACACCGTCTCTCCAGTACCAGTATATTGGAGGCAGTGACATACAGGTGCGAAACGTGACCGTCAACTAAATCAAAAGAGCGAGCAACCGTTTATCTCGGCATCAGATGGAGGCGCGAGAAGGTATAAGCAGAACTTGCTGATTGCCTTACAATCAGGCAATAAGCCCTACTTATCTGTGGACACCGTTTGCCAATGACTGGTGCGAATGACTGTGGGACCGTGGAATCTACGACATACGGATGCGAAACGCGGGCGCTGATTAAATCACAAGAGCGAGCAACCGTTTTATTTCCGCATCAGACGGAGGCGGGAGAAAGTAGAAGCAAATAAGCAGAGCTTATCGCTTGCCTTACAGATAGCCGGTGGACATCGTTTGTCAGTAATTGGCTCGAACGACAGTGGGGGCGTGGGAACCGCGACATACGGATGCGAAACGTGGCTACTGACAGAAGCGAGCGAGCGACTGTGGCGCCAATTTATTCCGCTGTCAGTGGGCGGGGCTTGTTGATTTGGCGGGAACGAAGAGGAAACGAGGAAATGGCTTGCGCAGACACATTGATTGGTATGTGTGTGGAGGAACGCGAGCGGATGTGTGCATCGCTGAGGTGGGCGTTCGGCGGGCATTGATTGTGAATGCTTTCGGTGAATGTTCGATCTGGGTAGATCACTGTATTCGGGCATATTCTCTGCTCTGGTGATGAGATGTGCTCATCCCACATCCATCGGCCACGGCTCCGACTGTCTCCGTCCAACGGTCGTTCTTGTGTCAACGCAGGAAGATTAGAGCCGATCAGATCTGTGGGCTTATTTTCATGCCACCAAAATCTGGGCCCTCTCGGTAAAGTCCCGGCACCGACGTTTTTCTTCTTCGTTGCACCCGGCCTTCTCTTCCTCCATCGGCCCTTCCCCCACACTTGCACCCCTTCCCAGGCGTTCTCCGTCCCTCTGAAATGCCCCCGCTTCCATCCGCATAAGTACAGTTAATTTGATGTCAGCCATATTGGTGTTGTTGGGATAGTATTAGTCATTCGTTTTTGCACGTATGCGAATGCTATAAATAGCGGCGCGCACCAGACTAGCTCATACGTTTTGTGCAATTCGGTTCAGCGGTCATTTGCCTGCTAAGGATTTTTAACTGCTTTGCGCTTTGGTCTGTGCAAAAATAGTTGAAATGTTGTCTGGTTCCTAAGTTACGGAAGTTTTCACTAAAAAATTGCATGGTGAACATCCTTTCAAAATCTGGCCCCCCTAATTTTCTGGCTTTTGAGTAACCGTCGCGCCAAAACTTTTACGTGGTCGTGCGTGAGGCCTCGGCATACTTGGGAACTGAATTTGAGTTGCTGTGGCTCCTGGATAGGCAGAAAACATCCTATTGAAATTTTCAGCTTCCTACCTCTCCTGGCTTTCGGGTAATAATTTTTCCCGCCAAGACGTTCAC